AGTTCTCTTGAATAGATATTTCCTCAAAGAAGTCATACAAATGGACTACCGGTACATGAAAAGGTACTCAACATCACTAATTATCAGGGCAATGCAATCAAAACCTCAAAGAGATATCACTTCACATTTGTTAGAATGGCTCTGATCAAAAAGACAAAAAATAACAAGTGTTGCTAAGAGTGTGCAGATAAGGGAACCTTTGTTCACTTTTAATGGGAATGTAAATTGGTGCAGCCTCTATGGAAAGCACTATAAAGGTTTCTTTAAAAATTACATATAAAATTATTATATGATCCAACAATCCCATTTGTAAATATATGTCCAATGGAACTAAAATCACTATGTCAAAAAGATATCTGCACTCCCATGTTCATTGCAGCATTATTTATAATAGCCAAGATATGGAAACAACCTAAGTGTCCATCAACAGATGAATGGATTAAAAATGTAATATATATGGAATATTATTCAGGACTAAAAAATAATTAAATTTTACCATTTGTGACAGCATTAATGGAGCTTGAGGGTATTATAAGTAAAATAAGCCAGACAGAGAAAGATAAAAACTATATGCTCTCACTTCTATGAGGAATCTTTAAAAAAAAAAGTATAGATACAGAGAACAGATTGGTAATTGTCAGATGTGGGGAGTAGAGGTTGGGTGAAATAGGTGAAGGTGGTCAAAAGTAAACTTCCAGTTAAAAAATAAATAAGTACTGGGGATATAATGCGTAGCATGTCAACTACAGTTAATAATACTTTATTACATATTTGAAAGTTGCTAAGAGAGTAGATTTTAAAAGTTTTCATCACAAAGGGAAAAAATTCTATAACTATATATGGTGACAAATGTTAACTGGACTTATTGTGGTGATAATTTCACAAAATATACAAATATCAAATCATTATGTTGTACACCTGAAACTAATGTAATGTTGTATGTCAGTTATGCCTCAATATAAATAGATGATAGATAGATTATAGATGATTAGATAGATAGATAGATAGATAGATAGATAGATAGATAGATAGATAGATGTTAGATAGATGGATGATAGATAGATGATAGATAAAATAAGAATGAAAAACAAAGTGAGTTGCTTTGTGAGTAATAGCATAATGGACTTAAATAAAACTTGTAAATGAGGAATATGTTACCTCTGAAACCCAAATAAACAGCAAATGTTGAGTCTAAAGTAGTACGTGCAGATGAAAATTAAGAGTTGATCCCTTAATGCATTAAGGTATGATTCTTCCCTGGGCTAGTGAATAATGTCCAGAAATTTTGCTGAAATAGTATGACCTTGATTTTACAGAATGCAATGGCCCAACCCTGATTGGAAAGTTCTATGACAAGTGTTTGTATATCCCACATGAGTGTATCCTTTTAGTTCCTTTACAGGAGGATGTTATCAATATAATGTCATACCTGTTTTCCTGGAATAAGTTAGATGTGGTTAAGATTTTGCCTGTAAATATATGTACATTGGCAGGGCTGTTGAAATATCCTATGGGGAGGCAAGTGAAAATATATTATTTCTTCAAGGATAAAGGCAAATTTCTTCTAAGGAATTATAAAACTATGCATAAAATAGAACACATTAGACAAATTTATAACAGCAAAATATTTTCTAGTTGCTGATTGAGTGGAGTATTAATTTCAGTAATATTAAGTATGCATATCTTAATGGAAGATTCAATGGCATTAAGGTTGTCAGTCCACCATGAAGTGACATCCATTTTTACCAGCACTGGCCAAATTGGGTTATTAAAGGCAGAAATAATAGGAACAACGCATATAGGAACAATGCAATTGTCAGGCATATCAATCACAAGGGTCCCACTACATTATTCTCAACTTCACAAACCTCATGGCTGTGGCAGATATTTTCATGGAACCTTTATCGTGGTCTCTTAGGAAACTTTTTCCTCAGGCATGTTTACAACTTGTTCACAAAATTATCAACAATTGAGATGTATTTGCACATTCTGAACTTGGGTCCACAGGGCATCTTCAGCTTCTTCAGGAAATTGATCCCCATGTGCCTGTTCTAAAGTGTAGATAAAACCCATATCATTCTGGCTACTGTAGACTCTGCAAAGAAATTCATATCCTGCCTTCTAAGGACTTTGCAATAATCTCTCTTAAAATGGAAATATCAAGGTATTCTCAATCTATTAAAGTCCTCTCTTCTAATTCTATCATTGCTGGGTGGGGGGGTAGCTCTTTTTTATTACACATATGAAGGACTGTGCCTCTCAGGAACCATGACTCAATTCTGGTTTGGATTCATAAAATTAAAAGTAACATACTTCCTTCCTAGGTAAGCCCCACAAACTTGGGTACTTCCATTAAGAGGATAGAATGTGGATGGGAAGCCAATAAAAAACACGTTAAATTTTGTACTACTCAGAGACTCACATGGCACATCTCATTTTTGATTTATCTCTTAGAAACAACACGGTAAACAGCTCACTGCAGTCATTCAGATCGTCGAAGATGTAAGCGTTGTATGTATTTAAAGTCACTGATGTTATTCTATAAAAGCGGATCATAAAATCCATCAATTATGAAAAATCTGGATGAAAATGCAGTACTTGCTAAAGACCACAGGTTAGTACACACAGGGAAGGAAAGATTATAGGGGATCCAGGCTGCCAGAAGATGCATGAAATAATGGGAAAGATCAACAAGAATAATTGTGACTTTTCTAATCTATAAGTATGTGAATTGTCTTTTCCTCTTAATCAGAAAAAAACTAAAAATGCACACAGAACACCACCACTAAAGTTTCTTTCCTTAGGGGATTATTACTTTATCTACAAAGGACTCTTGTCAGAAACATGAATGTCCCTCTTCCCAATTTCTGTATGCCAGGTATAAAATACAGGAAAGTTTGAGGCATGATAAACTGTGGTCCTTAGTTTGCCCTTGAGGACTCTTTAAGACTTTGAGCAAAATCCACTCAGAGATGCTGCCTGTGGATCTCTCAAGATCTCTACTCTCAGAGATATATCCCAAATTGGTGCCTAAGAGACTTTGAATGTGACAGAGAAACATATAAGAAAATACTAATTAATATGATTTATTGATGCCTGAGCCTTGTTTATATAGACAAAAAGTCTTTCGATATAAAACAAGATAGTATTGAACCAAGATTCTAAAGTCCTTAAAGGCCTATTACAAATTTATCATACAAAAGAAGTGGAGGTGTAGAAAAAATCAACTACGTGTCAAAATCTTCAGCATTATCTGTATGGGGAAATTCTTACTGGTTTATGAAACAAGGAAGTCTAATATGAGGATCTATGGCAGATCTCCAGTGAAACATCAAATAGTACAGGGAGGAGAAAACAATACAGAAAGAGAAAAAAACACGGGGAAGGGAAAAGAAAGCACAGAAAACAGAATCAGATAGAGATAATTCTACCAAGAACACAGAAGTAGGAGAGATTAATAGAGTCAGAAAAAAATGATTTAAATGTGAAGATTTTATAAAGACTTTGAGAGAAAAGGATAGGTTCAAAAACGTACTCTTCTGAAAAAAATGATTAATTATTCTGTAATACATCCTGTTAAGTGTCCAGTAATAGATAGAGAGTATATATGACTTGATTTTGTTAGTAGCAATCAGCTTTATATGACTTGATTTTGTTAGTAGCAATCAGCTTTATCTCTTCTATCCTGAGAAACTTCAGTTTTCATCATTCTCATCTTTTTCCTCTAGATCTACTGAAAGTCAGCAATGAAAAACAGGACCATATTTACCGAGTTCATCCTTTTGGGCCTCACAAATCAACCCGAAGTCCAGGCTATGATATTCATCTTTCTGTTCCTCACCTACATGCTAAGTGTGCTAGGAAATCTGACTATCATCACACTCACACTGGTAGACCCTCACCTTCAGATCCCCATGTATTTCTTCCTCCGGAATTTCTCCTTCTTAGAAATTTCTTTTACATCCATTTTTATTCCCAGATTTCTGACCAGCATGACAACAGGAAATAAGGTCATCAGCTTTACTGGATGCTTGATTCAATATTTTTTTGCAATATTTCATAGGGCAACAGAGTTTTACCTCCTGGCCTCTATGTTCTATGATCGCTATGTGGCTATCTGCAAACTCTTGCACTACCTGACCCTCATGAGCAGCAGAGTCTGCATACAGCTTGTATTCTGCTCCTGGCTGGGGGGAATCATGGCAATCTTACCCCCAATCTTCCTGATGAGCCAGGTGGACTTCTGTGTCTCTAATGTACTGAATCACTATTTCTGTGACTATGGGCCCCTCCTGGAGCTTGCCTGCTCAGACACAAGCCTCTTAGAACTGGTGGTCATCTTCTTGGCAGCTGTGATTCTGGTGGTTACTCTAGCACTAGTGGCACTTTCTTATGTATATATTATCAGGACCATTCTGAAGATCCCTTCTTCCCACCAAAGGACAAAGGCTTTTTCCACTTGTTCTTCTCACTTGATTGTCATCTCCCTCTCTTATGGCAGCTGCATGTTTATGTACATTAATCCCCCTGCAAAAGAGGAAGGTGCTTTCAACAAAGGAATAGCTGTGCTCATTACTTCAGTTACCCCGTTATAAAACCCCTTCATTTACACTCTAAGAAATCAGCAGGTGAAGAAAGCATTCAAGGATACTATCAAAAATATTGTGAAGCTTTAAAAAACAGAATACTTTTCAATGTATTGAGTGTACCATATTTCAAGTGTTGAACCAGGATAAAAGTATGAAAGACATATGTCCTAATTTCAAGGAATATACAGTCTAGTGTAATAGAAAGGTATATAATCTATAAATTTATGTAATAAGTTTACAAAAAATAAAATAACATGTTAAGTGTTATTAAGAAAAGATAAATGAGAATTTATAGAAAGAACAGTTGGAAAGAATTAACTTTCTGGAAATGACTTCAAATTTAAAAGGCAAAACATATTGTTTACTTAGGAGAGTAGGAAGATAAGAATTTAGAATGAAAAAGAGAAGCCAAATCATGAAGATATTTAATTATAAATTGTGGAGTTAGTGGGACATTGGTGAGTCAATAAAAATTTTAATAAAGGAAGTGATATTATCAGCTTTGTTTTGAAGGAAATCTGGCATTGGCATTGTTCTTCATCACGGGGCCCTGGAGACTATTCTATCAGTGCCAATGATTTTTATTCACCTCCCTTTTTTCATTTATCTTTCAACTGTAGCCATTACAACTTCCATCTTTCCACAAAGGAAAACATTTTTAAATGATATACATTTAGTCTGCTTTTCTCCAAATGAGGCAAAAATTCTCAAGATTTAGTCAACTTACATGTTTATTTTTTAGAAGTTATGGTTAGAAGAGGTTTCTAGAGGCAGGGTTAGAAGCCTTTCACTTTTCTAGTGCTGCTTTTCTTAGCCGACATCTTTTTAAGGTAATGGCTAAGATATCTCACTTTCTCTCTTTGGTAGTTTCTGGTGATTTTTTAATTGTGATTTTTGTTTGCATTTGTTAAATATCAGAAAAAAACAAATTCTGTGATATGGCTCCATTCTTTTAACTTTTCTCCAAATTTTTGCTTTTGTTAACATAAGCCATGGATGCCTGTTTTATAAAGTGAAAAAAGAATATATAGTACCAATATGGTTTTATATGTAGAATGTGCCAAATTATGAGTTTTAGCAACCAACTGGGAATAGACTACTCTACCAAGGATAGGATGGACTCAAGGTAACAACTTAAATTTGAATAGGTGGCAGAAGGAGCTCAACTTCAATGGAATTAAGGACACTTTGAAAATCTGAGTACTTACAAATAGTTTAATAGTATCCTAATGCATTGTAGAACTCTGGCTAATGTTTGGGGTACAAGTGAAATATCATCTGGCTCCATATTACCACATACTTTGTATGTGGTAATAATGTTGAGTGGAATGATGCTTCTTAAGCATGTAAGGAACAAAGTGTATTGAACTAATCATGAGATAATTTCCAGAACCATAGAAAATATTGACAGATATATAATGTTTTTAATAAAAGGCCTTTTATGTAAAGCCATTGCTACTTTGAATATCTGGGTTTCTTTGGTGACTAAGAAAGAGATCAGTGATGATTTTGCATTTATTCCAAATTCACTGAGCTAACTATTAATTGATAGAGTGATGTACTTAAACAGCCACATCTGAGTCATTAACTTCTCCCAAATTCACATTTCTACCAAAATCTATGATGAAGTGGAAAACAATGCTATATAGTGTTTAAAAATACAGACTTTAGTTCAAATCTCAGATTTTCAACCTTCTAGCAGAGTTATCTAAGGCTTACTTTTCTCAACTCTAAAATATGGATAATAATAGTATCTATCTTATAAGATGGTTTTGAGCATTAAATGAGATAATAGGTATAAAATAGTTAAAAAGTCATTACTTATTAAGTGTCTAATAAATGCTATCCATTATAACAGGATGATAATGACAAACAACATCTTTTTCAAGAAACAGGGACTTAGCTAATAAAATAAGTATTAAACTGATTGGTTTAATATAACTAGGACTGTAAAAATGTTGGCCATTCTACTTGAAATTTCTCTGCAGCAAAGCAAGCTTATTTCCTTTCCTCTTATGACTAGTTGTATACTTGGATACCCAGATCAGTGAAGGGTTACCCATACTTCAGGTAAAGCCAATCAGAACACTTGGCTGTGGATTATTAAGACTAGGGCTACCATCAACTCCATATGCCCCAGATATCTCTGAGCATGCTGAGATAAGGAATAAGATTACTTGGCGTAAGTCAAAGTTTAAGAAAACTAGCCAGGGCTTCACCCAGCCTTTATAATATAATCATTTAGAAGTGAATTTCAGAAGGAATGTATCACCTTCTTAATGAGCTTGTACAAAAAAGAAAGAAAGAAAGGAAGAAAGAAAGAAAGAAAAAAAGAAAGAAAGAAAGAAAGAAAGAAAGAAAGAAAGAAAGAAAGA